GGGGGCACTTGTGTATGTTTGTTTGCAGGTATCTTCATATGGCCAATCATGCTAACAGGTCTGTGATTACTTTCCGTGAAGAACACCAACTCAAATGATGTGCAGGTGCCAAATGTTGAAGAGCTGCTGTAAACATCAACCTTACTAAGTAAAATTAAATTTGTCAGCTGATAGAGGTTATTTTCTAAAAATAGTCCCAGGTTCATATTTCTTGTCACTAAATAAAAACTAAAAAGCATCAGTTACTTGTAGGAAAATGTATGTTTACCCAGCAAGATATAGATGATGAAAGTATCTATGGATGTAGCTTTAAGGTGATCATTTTATATTAAAAATGTCTGAGGGGAGGCCTACAGATCATGCCACATGAATGGTCTATTACGAGGTATGCTGTGTGGTACCAAAAGGATTCAACTAAAAGGCTTTCACATAAAGATGTACTATTTCAGAATTGCAATAACAGATAAAGAAAGGTTTGACTAACAGACCAGGCAATCTGGTATTTTTTTAATTATTAAAAATAATAAAGTAGCATTAATTATCAAAATAGTTGACCCTCTAAATAGCTTAAATCTATAGAAACAGGCTTATCAAAGTTAAATCAGTTACCACTATGGAAAATGAATAGGGAGAACCAAGGGCACTAGGAAATAGCATAGAGAGCCTGTTTAAAATATAGCAGAATTAAAGATCTACCCTGTTTTGCTGCTATTGGGAAACTGAATATGTGAAGAATCGATTCTTGAAATATTCTTTGTGTGTGGGATTGTGCTATTAAAATAATTTTGTACCACATTCTTTTCAGTAATAATTAATAAGAACTACAAAGTCCTTCCCCAACCTTATGCTTTAAATTTATCAACTCAAGCAGGCCTGCTGAGTCCTGACCTTCATGCCTCCTTTTAGGGATTCCCAACTGCCTAAAGAATTCTTGCAGTTCTATCTGATCTGTCAACAGCTTTTAATACCAGCATTTTGGGGGATTCTGTTATCCTGTGAAATTTAATCTCACCTATTTAAGCTTGCAGAAAGTACTGGAGGGAATTATTAACAGAATTTCCCTCATCTTCTTAGAGGATAGTGCTGAGTGATTGGCTGGTTTCCCTAAGGACCCACGGCTGAGAAGCGCTAGTTTGTCAGTAGCATCCTACTTAGCATGCGTGTGAGGCCACAAGGGAGACTGAAAGACATTTGGAATCAGAATTACATCAGTATGCTGATGATGCCTCCGTATCTTCGTTTCATCAAACCTATATCCTGTAGCATTAATGCTTTCTTAACTAAGATGGAAAGTGCCCCAAAACAGCACACTGTTTATGGCTCTAATTAGACAGCTGGAAACTACATTGATGATACATTAGAGCAGTGAATCAGCAGCCTCAGCATCACCAGGGAACTTGTTAAAAATGCAAACTCTCAGGCCCACCGCAGACCTACTAAATCAGAAACTCCGGGACTAGGGCCCAGTAAGCTGTGTTCAAGAAGCCCTCCAGGTGATTCTGATGCACACTAAAGTTTGAGAACCTCTGCATTAGAGACATGGGATGTGGTTGTCACTGCAGAATCTACTGGATGGTGCCTCCTAGCTTTGTAGATTAGAACATTTCTGGATCCAATCCATGGTTCTTCGTTACTAACTATGTAATTTCATGTTAAATGTAACTAGCCTTTGTAATAATCCATATTTGTCACTAAAGGATGAGAGAACTTTGTATTGTTCTGTATTTCCCTCCCTCAAAAAACCTCTGAGAATTAGACTGCGGCTTTGGCTATATACATGCTGGCATGCCCAATGGTGAGGCCTTTTACCAACAGACAAATCATGTTATCCCCAAATTGCATCCCAGAGCCCAAGCCCATTAGACAATACACATATTTGAGAAAAAATCTAAATGCCCCTGTTTCTCAATCTTCATTGACTTTAAAGAAAGAAACTAAGTGTGGCTGCAGTTTGTATGTACTGGAGTAGAAAGCATAGAGGAACAGGAGAAATACAAAGAAATTAGGTGTGATATTAAAATCTTCGTATTAGTTAAAAATTTGTCCTAGAACATATTCTCTCAAAACCCATATCTTGAAGTAGATACATAATATTGGACCTCCTCCTGACTTTCCAGTTTCATAAGTGTTAGCACTGCCATGTCTTGGGCCCTCTTTTGATGTACACAAAACCAAGTAATGGTCATGAAGGATTAACACTGGAACCTCTACAAACGCTAGAAGTCCCCAATCCTAAAAAAGTATAAACACTGGCCAGTGACCCGACCCTGAAATCTATGCATACTCTGAAAATGTTCTACGTATTATTCCTTCTCTCATGCTGAGGAATTTGCCTAAAATTAACAAATGAACCTTCAAAGGCCTATTGCTGTAACATTGATCTAACTTGGAAAGTATTTGCCCTCTTAAAGCTAGAAGCACTGGATACTGATTTCCTCCAGGAAACATTCATTCCACAATTATTTGTTGAACGCTTTATATGTGATACCCATTGCACTAGGCAAGGGGAAGAAAAAAGTGACCAAGAGAGATGACCATGGCCCCCGCTCTCGTGGAGCTCGAAGTCAAGTAGTTTTAAGACCACATAAAAAAATTTGCTTTCTTGTAAGTTAATAATAAAAAACCATCTAAACATTTGTTCTTCTGGTTTTAATTAAGCTCCAGATCCACTAGGGTTCTACTAAGCTCTACTGCAGGCATGTGACATGCTGTTCAATGGGCCCATTGCTTCCTCTCAATACTTTGGTAAACATGGTTCAGCCCAATGAGCTCTGGCCTTCTGACTGAGCTATACCTAGACTTGGATCCTTTCCATCTCATGATCCAGTCATATTTAATAGTCTATCTACTCTTTCCATTAGCCCCTGATTAGCCTCCCTGCTTCTGACCCAAGCCTCCCTTAGTCAATTCTCAACAGAGCAGTCCTTTTAAAATTTAACTCAGATCTTGGTGCTTCTCGGCTGAAAACAGTACAATAGTTTTCTTTTTCAGTCAGTAAAAACTAAAGGGCTTGTGAACACCAACAAGACCTCACCTGCTCGGCCACATACTGCTTTCTCTTACTCTGTTCCAGCCACACTGACTTTTTCTTCTATTCCCAGAAGTCCAAGAGGCTTCTTCAATCAAGGGAGAATACATTTGCCTTGATCTGGAATGTTTTTCTCCCAGATATCTACATTCTCTCGATATCTTCATCTCGATATCCAAAAGGTATCTCATTAGAGAGGCCTTCCCAGGCCACCCTGTTTAAAATAGCAAATCCTGCCTCCTATTCTACCACACTTTCTCCCCATACACACTCTCCTTATAGACCTATTTTAATTAATTTTTCTCTATAGCACTAACCATCTTTCAATATATTATTTATGTGACAATTTATTTGTTTGGTTATTGAGTGTCTTCTCTCACTAGGTATAAGCTCCACGAGGGCAAAAATTTCTATCTGATTTTTTCACTGCTATATTCAAATTGCCTAGAACAATGTCCGATACACAATGGATGCTCAATAAATGTAGATTGATTAAATGAACAAACAATCTTCTACCTCTACCCTCTTAAGTAATTATCTGGTCTCATTTTGTGTGTATTCTATTTAAGGTAGAAGAAATAGCCACTACTTACTTCTAGTTACCCTTGCCAGTGGAAGATGACTATAATATAAACTATGAAGTAAACTGACATTGCCATTCAGGGTCATCTTCCCTTCCAACTCTCAGGGTACAGCCTTATGTAACTAAAACTTCTCTGACATTGCAATCAGAAGAATAAGACAAAATATTTAGTTCAATACACATTTCTCGAGTACTTATTATTTGCTGAGGTCCTATGCTATGCATGGGGATACGAAGATGAATAAAATTAGCTCCTGTCTTCATTTATCTTAAGCAAGTCACTTAACTTCAGTATGCCTGTTTTCTTTTTATTTGTAACATGATGAGCTTGCACTAATTGATGCCTCAAACCACACTCTAGAATAAATTCCTATGATTATAAAACCATCTCCACCATGGATTTTGGAAAAAAGTCTGAAAGGGTAGATTGGATGAAGGAAAGCCCAGAGAATAGAGTTGACATTTGAAACCCAGCCATGAATCAGTGGTGACTCTGATATTTTAGTGAGATTAATCTCTAACATGGTTAATCTACACGTGACAAATTACCTATTGACTACAGTTATAACTCTTGCCTAGTACAGAGACTCCAAATATTTTCAGGCATTCTAAAGCAAATCAAATTCAAAATACTGATTTGGATAAAATGAGTAATTTATCTTTCTATAAATACATTTCATTCTTGTTCTCAGAACTAATATCCTCTATAAGGCATTATCTTTCTCTAATAGAATTAAATTTGAGAAGTTCGTGGTACACGTACCCAGCTGATGCCTCACCCAAGATTAGTCACCTGTAAGATGAAATGATTTTTAAATCTGTCATTTTTAGTAAGTTAACTAATGATTAATTCTAAATAATGCTTAAACTAGAGCTCTTTTTAAAAAATAAATGGCAATCTTTGTTCTATTGGCTTCATAGCAAAATGAATTGACTGTAAGTATGACCAAGGTATATATCTTTGAATGCAGCTTATAAACTCGGCTTATGGAAAATTCTGAATATCTCTAACTACCACATTCTCCTAATGTCCATACATTTTGTGAAGAGTACCTATTGTTCAGGATATGGAAGACTTAGCACATTCCATTGTTACCAGTCAAATGCAGTACACTTCAAAGATATTAACACTGAGAATAAGAAGCCCTTGTGCATTGAAAAAGATAAATTTCTCATTTCATCTAAATCAGTATTATAAAATAATTTTTTTTGCTTTGAATGTCTGAGTTAGAGAAAAAACAGCTATGGGTAGTCCAAAAATTTTTAAATTTGCATTTCATAATTTCAAGAACATTCTAATGATTTAAACCAGGACACTGCATAGTAACAGTTTCATCTCCTAAAATCTGTTGCATTACAGCTCCATATTTTCTGATGGTTCCATTTTACCTCCTCGGGGACAGCTCTTATATTAACAAAGCCTTTTCTGAAGACGATGAACACACGGCGTGCTCCACAACGTAAGGCGGACGTTGCACAGTCGAAAGCAGTGTCTCCAGCCCCGAGTACAATCACAGCTCCCCGTATCGATGGCAATGGAGAGTGACAGGCACACATTCCTGAATGATGAAAGGAAAACCCCATTTTCAAGTAGAGAAACCATTTCTGCATGACAGCTCAAAAGATACTTGTACTCAAAGCAGTGTAAAATTGCATCTTGCAGTTTTCGAGGATGGAGTGTCACTATCAAATTATTCTGCTTCATTGAAAGACAGTTTTATTCCCATTTTAAAAATATGCTCAGATATGTAATTTCATAGTCAGTACCTTTAACTTCTTTTTTGCCTTCTAGAAGGATAACTACAACACATTTTGAAGAGTTTAGGTCATAATAAACCAGAATCAATCAATTAAAACTCTCTTGGTCAATGTGGTGATATATATTTTTAACTTGGTGCCATTAAATTTCTGTTTGTTAGAAGAAAAAAACTGATCCTTATGATCTGGGGTAATAATTCACAGCATTTCATGAAAATACATTATTCAGATATTATCTTATAAGATTCCTAACATACAGCCCTGCTGTATATTACATTTAGTAAACTATGAAAATTAACATGCTCAATAAGTACTCTTTATGTAACTGAAGAACTTCTGAAAACTACTTTTTTGAAATAGCTAAAATAAAACTTTCTCTCTTTTACCACTTTTCCCTGGTTTTGTTTGTAAATTTGATCAATAAAAGAAATATGACGTTCTAAGTATTCATTTCTCAAGAACATCTATATGAAGATTTGATGTCCAAATGATTCTTGTAAAAAAGTAAAATGCAGGTATTCTCTATGTGGTAAGTGGTAGTGTATTATCACATTAAATAAAACTGTTGATAAGATAAATTACTATAATTATTGAAGTGGCTCCATGGATAGCATAGGCCTATAATCTCAATAAGTGTAATCATTTCGCTTGGAAGAGTTTGTATTTGGGATTATGTAATCAGTACTCTATAATTCTCAAATACATGCTATATGTACTATGACCTTCCTTAGAAAGGGTTGCAGGTATACAAGCATCCCATTCTCCTGGAAGGAGAAAGATGGAGATGGTACACATCTTTAGCTGTAAACTTCTGCAGAGTGATCTAACAGAGAAAGGTTCTTATCTTTTTCAATTTTAGGGGAAAACATAAGTTCTTATCTTTTCCACACATAATTAGATGTTGGAATAGTTGAAGTTCAGACTTCATTAAAACATACATGTTTAGGGGCCTGCCCCATGGCACAGTTGTTAAGTTTGTGCGTTTTGCTTCGGTGGCCCGGGGTACGTCGGTTCGGATCCTGGGCGAGGACCTACTGACCGCTCATCAAGCCATGCTGAGGCAGCATCCCATACAGAAGAGCTACAACTCTACAACTATGATACACAACTATGTACTGGAGCTTTGGGGAGAAAAAAAGAGGAAGATTGGAAACAGATGTTAGTGCAGGGCAAATCTTCCTCAAAAAAAAAAAATATATGTTTAAAGGAGTTAGATTATCTGGTTTTGGAGCATATACTATAACTCCTTTATCACCAAGACAATGACTAGGGCAGCCAAAGCACTGAACAGGTTTAGCCTCAGGTTGTTCTTCCTGGGTGTATGAAGTGACATGACACAGAGACTATGTGTTTTACTTTAGCTTCAGAAAACTGTTGTTCAAAGATACTGAATATTACTGCCTGTGTGGACATAAATCATGTAATATATGTGATAATCTGTCATATTTTAAAATAAAAAATAAAATAGTTCCCAAACTGAAGTTCCTGCCATTTCTTTAAAGAATAGCTTCCAATGTTTGTTAAGGATGCTCTTACTTTAAAGCAATTTTTCATGATGCAGTTTAGACCTGAATATAATACAATTAAAAATCCTTCTGATGATGTTTGATTGGAAGAATGAACAAATAGACGATTCTGGAAAATGCTTACATTATGCTTTTTTTTTCTTTTTTTAACTTTATATTGGTGTTATAAAAGGATAAATTTGAGATTTAAACAACAGTCCTACTGAGCCTGGATTTAATATAAATTTATAATACATACAACAACATAGGCAACATTAAGAACAAAAGACAATATCTTATACCTGGTTTACTGGCTTTCGCTACAAGTGGCAAAAAGTCTTTGGACGTGTAAAACCCCTGGTCCTGCGTCAGGCCTTGGAAGATGCGGTGTTTATTGGGTTCTGGCAAACCTAAGTAATAAAAATTTATAAAACATCATTAGCAGGAGAAGGGAGTTTTCCTAATTGATATTTAAAAAAAAAAAAAAGAAAGCTGCAATCATTAAAATAATGTGGTTCTTAAAGGAAAAAAAATCTATAAGCAAATCAACCTAAAAGAATGTACATAACACAATGTAACAGATCTCCAAGCATACCTTTAATATATAACTAAGCACACATTATAAATCACATGTTCACATACACATATACATAGGCAGAAACATGGATACACACACATACACATACATATAGTGTTCAGGGGAAAATCAGGTTATATTCTTTCCTCAAGTCATAAATAATAAGTTTCTGGTGTGCTGAAGTGTTAAATATAAAAAAAGCGTCACCAAAACTAAAAGAAAATATGGACACATATGTACCTAGTTCCTCTATATGGAAGATAATTCTAAGAAAAAAAAATAGATGAAAAACTTCAAAGGAAAAGAAATGTAGTTTACCAGAAAAATTCAGCCTCTTCTACATTTCAAAAATATTATAAACAAATTAAATGGCAAATGGTTAACCAGGAGAATATTTTAACAAATAAAATGTCTTTACTACATAAAGAAGTTTCTCAATTTCAAGGAGGAACATACTAGCTTTTCAATAGAAGCATAAACAATGGATAACAAAATTGGGATAAGAAAAAATATAAACAGCTTATAAGCATCAAAAATCTTAACTCCATTATTAATTTAAGAACCACAAATTAAAACAATGAGATACGATTTCCTTTCTATTAAAAAGTAAAGAATTTAAGAGAATTAGACTAAGTGTAGAGATGGGACTTGTCATGGTCTTTTGATAGAAATTCACATTGGTGCTCAATTTTTAGAAAACAGTTTTGAATCTATACTACAGAAACACTAAAACATGCAAATAAAGGTTTAACGTACAAAAATGGTCAACGCAAAAAAAAAAGAGAGAGAGGGAGAGAGAAAAAGAATGGAGGAATACCAAAATGTCAACAGAATGAATAAATGAGTTTTACTTTAAAAAGGAAAATGACAGACCAAAATACAACCATTAAAATGAATATTTGAAAAATATGGTATTAGATTGTAGTCAAAATATAGTGTTAAACGAACTAGTAGGACACAAAACTCTGTGTATAGTATGATTCAAGTTTTGTAAAAAAAGAATATATAAACTATATAATTTAAACAGTGATCATTTCTGGTAGTGGGATTATGGATATTCTATTTTTTTATTATTTCCCGGTTTTCCAAATTTCCTACAACACGCATGTATCAACTATACAATTAGGAAATAATTGCCAAAATTTTGAAAAGAAAATGAATAGCAGACTAAAATTTCTTTCAAAGTATAAACAGCAAATCTGATAGCAATCACCTCACCCTAGGAAACTGGAGAATCAATTCACCTCATTTCCAGAAACATAGGGGGAAACTTATAGTTTAATTTTATTTACCGTCCAAAACCCAGTCTACCAGTGGGTCATTCTAGAGAAGAGTGAGTTTATTTTATAGTTAAATGAAGGGCAATGAGTAGTTGCTGGTGGACACATAGAGTAATAAGCATGGCCCAAGGATGACTGTTGTCATGAGAGGTAAGGTAGGTACCGTATCTGGTCTGAAAGCTGAAAGTGCTTATAGATTGAGTGTGTAACTGGCAATAAACCCCGCTGTCCCTTCAAATTAAATCAAACGTTTTTCTTCCTTGTCCGGCATTCCCTCCTTGCCCAAAGATTTGCCCTTTGCTCATAAATTAAGACCATTTGTTATTAAAATTATTTTAATTTTCTAGGAAAGTTAGGTAAGGCATTTGACTTGCCTTTGCCTTGGCTTGTTTTTAAATGAAATGGGTATAAGATTGTTTCTTCATTTTCTGACATAGAGGAATACTCCTTACGTATATTTATAACATGGAAACTATTACATAAATGTGTGGTTATTTATGTAATTCTTTTAGAAAGCCTGGGAGAGGGAGTGATTACAGTTATATAAAAATAGCTGAATATGTATCTGACGACTCTGATGACAAAACAATTTTTCTTGAAAGCTATTAAAAGATGACTGTAGTTTAAACTACAGTTGATCAGTCAAACTAACATATACATATGCTGCATATCAAGATTTAAATACGGACTTATCTCCTCTCTCATATTACTATACTATAGAGATAGCATATGTTCTATTGCACTTCATTTTCCTGTTAAAAAATCACAAACAACAAGAAAAACAACCTGAAGTGCTATGCAATTTCAAGGTGGTGTGATAAGCAAAAACCTTTAAGGCAGATCAAAAACAAGGCACAGAGAACGTACGTGGTGGACAACAGTTCCACAGTTACCGGCAATAAGGTCTAAAACCCTTCCTTTCCTAACTCCTAATCTGGGCGTTTTCACTACTTGCCATGGTTAAGGCAGAGAGGCAGCTTTACATCTGTGATTATTTTCTGCAGACTCACTACTAAAATAACTTATCCAAAGAAATGCAAGGCATTCTTATTAAACGTACCAGCAGACCCACAGAGACGACTTTTCCTCTCCTGCAAGGATAATGTCACAAGAAAAAAGCTTTGGTAAAATTTAAATTTCATTTTTTCACTTAGGTTAAGACACTGACAAGGACAACCGACTTTCCTCTGCTTTCACCCCACTCTGCATTTATCACTATAATGAATTTAACATTTACTGGGTCAGATTCTCCCTGTAAATGTAACAAAAGGGCACTGGTTAGATGTTCTGACCTATGGATATTGGCTTAAGGAGAGGAAAAATGAGCCAGTATCTGGACAGGATCCTTATGATTGGGTTATCTCTGCAGCCTCTTTAGCCACACTCCAGGTCACATACACTTTTAGAGTCCCAAGGTCCATGGAGCCCCCCCCCCCCCCCTGGGTGACAGGTCATCCCTTATGTCCTAGAATAGTGCATCTGAAGCTCTCCTCACAGACTCATGGATAGTCTGGCCCAGCTGGCAGAAGTACCCTAGCCTCTGCTAACCATGATACTATAGGGTGATTAGGAGCAGGGTCTTTGTCATCAGATGGACTTTGGTATGAGTTTTTCTCTCCCACTTACCAGCTCTGTGATCTTGTGTAAGTTCTTGTGATGGTCAGTTTTACATGTACTTGGCTAGGCTATGGTCTCAAATTGTCTGATCAAACACTAACCTAGGTATTGCTGTGAAGGTATTTTGTAGATGTGGTTAATATCTACAATCAGTCGACTTTAAGTAAAGATTTCCTTGATAATGTGGGTAGGCCTCATCTAATCAGTTGAAAAGCCTTAAGAACAAAACTGAGGTTTCCCTGGGAAAGAAGAAATTCTGCCTGCTGACCTGCAGATTTCAGATTTTCAGCTCCCACAATTACACAAGCCAATTCCTTGAAATAAATTTTATATATATATATCCTAATGATTTTGTTTTTCTGGAGAACCTGAAACAGTTCCTCCATTGCTCTGATCTTTTACTACAGCATTTCTAATAGGGATAATAATTACACTTTTCCCATATATGTGAGATTTGAAGGAATATATATATATGCGAAGCATTAAGACCTGGCATGTAGTGAATGCTCAATAAATATCAGCTATTAATATTAAGATAAGTTTATTTATTCTTTAGCTTATCAATTCTTTCAAACTTCACATCTTATGGCAAGGAAAGAATTGAGCTTAAATCAAAGTAAAGTATTAAACCTTGGCAAATTTAAACAAAGTGCTACAAAGAAAGAAAAATGAAGCAATCTTAAGTGAAATATGAAAGACAACAAAACTTGCAAATACCCATCTATCAAAGGAAGATTTCCCTGAGAGTAGGTGGCATATTAATAAATAAGGTATGTGTCTATACCAGGATGATTTCAAAATGACACTGAAATGACTTTTTAATTCACCTTTCAGTGGGAAGAAGGGGATTTATGAATAAAGAGGAATTGACAAAGATTTGACAAACAAAACAGCTCAGCTTAGTAGATGTATAGTGTTCTTTGTCTTTTAAGAAGGCCAGATAGTTTCTTAGTTCCCTTAGAATAGTTACTGAAGTTTTGGGTGTTTCAGCATGTATTTACACAAAGGAACACCTCCTTAAAAATTAGTGAAAAATGATAATTTTCAAGTTCTCTGAAAATAAATAAAAATCTCCTTATATTATGGAAAATCTAATTTAACATGTATTGATTAGTTATATTATAGTCACTGTTCTAATTACTCACCTCATTCTCAAAACAACTGAGACAACTAATATTATTTTCCACATCTTAGATATGCGGAAACTGAGGCATAGAGACGAAAAACTTTGCTGACGGTCACAAACATGTAAGTGGCAGTGCCAATTTCTAACCTGGACAGTCTGGCTGTAGAGTTTATGCTTTAACTTCAAAATGCTGCCTCTTTCATGTATAAAATTATAACTAAGCCCTGTTATAATGTGATGCTACATAACAAGTGATATCTAAATTAATCATTCAATGCTTATGTAATTAAGTTTCACTGTTAGGCTATATAGATACGCATACAACACAGAACGTGTCTGTGGCCAGGTTTCAATCTAGAGCTACAGAAAAGACCAGCTGCTTCTCTAGGCTGCATCTTTGTTTTGCGATTATTTTCTCTAGTACAATTCCTTTCTGAAATGTTTCCTTCTTAAGGGCATTCCCCTTGGGTATCTGCTGGTTATTTTTCAATATTTGATATTCTTTGAAATATGTATCTCTCCTTTGTTTTCAAAGCACCTCCTTCTGGGACAACTACAAAACAAATAACAGCAGTATATAAGTAAATTCTTTGTGCTCATACTAAGTTCTGCACAACTTCAATTAACATCAAGATATTAAATATTCTCTTTCATATTATCATCTAGTAAGTAAGAGAGGAGAAATAAGTTTTTAAAGCTGAGTCTTCATAGCTATGGTAGGACGTATTTAAGAATTCCTCGGATTTTATAATGTGCCTGTGTTACTGCACCGGGTCACTTACTCAGTGTTAACTGCACTGAGCAAGCATT